CAGTGTGCCTCCACAGTGTCGCCCCCGCAGTGTGCCCCCGCAGTGTCGCCCCCGCAGTGTCGCCTCCGCAGTGTCGCCCCCGCAGTGTCGCCTCCGCAGTGTGCCCCCGCAGTGTGCAGGCTCCGTGTTCGGCTAGAACGCAGGCTGCCGCTGGCTGCTGAAGGAGGCTCAGGAACCGCGAGTCCCTGCGCCATCAGCCCATCCACATCATCAAAGCTCACGGAACCGCGCATCCCTGCGCCATCAGCCCATCCACATCATCAAAGCTCACGGAGCCCTCACACTCAACTTTTAACTTGAAATTTTCAAACCTCCAGAACTGTCCCAACCTCCTTCTTATTCTTTTTCATGATTTTAATATTTAAATAATGCTGAAGAGTTCAGACATTTATAAAATGTCCCTAGTACCCGAATTTATCTAATTGTTTCCTTTTTGTAGATTCCATGGAGATATTCTTGCGCAAATGCAGTACAGGTGACCCTGTGCAGGCCAGTCTGTCGTATCAGGAGGCAGTGATATCGGTCTGTTCTGTTATGGGTCATAGTTTGACCACTTGTTACTATGGCAACTAACACACTCCACCGCCATTCTCTCCCTTTAATATCCTCTGATGAACCTGCTGCAGTCAGTTACTACGCTGCCGTTACCAGCGTTATTTTCTTTTAATTTTTGGTATTTGATTGATTGCAGGAAATTCTCTTATACTCTTCTCTTGTCTCTATCTTGCCTAGTGAATATCAGGATTACATACACACACATACAAACACTCACACACACACAACTCACTCACATACACTCACACACATACACATTCTCATGCACTCCTCACAGACTCTTCACACACTTACACACACTTACATCCCTCACACACTCACACTCCTCACACACACAGACATATACTCACACACACTCACATTCCTCATACAATAACACACAGACACACACACACACTCACACACATTCACATACACACACAATCCACACACACACACATACACACACACACAAAAAAAAAAAACCACTCACTCACATATTCACACACACACTCACACATGTAAGTTCTGGGGATTCCAGTCCTGGTCTGTACTCATCAGCTCTTCATCTACTGGGCTATCCTCATCACTGCCACCCACTTTCAAACAGGTCTCATGTCGCTGGTTTCTGACTTGCTGCTTGGTGAAGGGTGACCTTGAATTCCGGATCCTCTAACTCTGCCTCCCTTGGGATTATAGGCAATGCGCCCCCAAGCCAGCAAACTGGGGTCTTTCTGACACCAGAATGTGTGTGCTCTGTCGACTATATGGGTGACTACTCCTCAATACTAAAAATAACACATTTCTTTTTAATAGAAATGAATCTCTCCTGTAGCTTTGAACCCTTTTAAACTCTAAAACTCTAGCACCCGAGGGGCTGTTGTTATTCACAGGGACTACATGCGAAGGAATTATTTAAAAAGGTACAGGATGGTGGGATCAGAATCTCCCTCAGCATCTCTGCCGTCACCCAACCGTGGTGAGTCTAGGATCCCTTGCTCGATGGTGCGCAGTGTGCAGGAGGGAGCTGGATTCAAATGTCAGCTTTTTTGTTTGCTTGTTTTATTTTGTTTTGTTTGTGGGAGGGTTGAGGTAGAGATCCACTGTGTAGTCCAAGCTGATCTTGGAGTACTGATCCTCCGGCCTCAGCTGCCCAAGTCCTGGGATTACAGGCATTCCCACACCCAACACTGCTTTCGCCTGTTTTTCTTTTTTTTCTTTTTCTTTTTTCTCTTTCTTTTTCTTTTTCTTTTTCATTTTGTCTTTAGTGGCAAAGTGGGATTGAAGTGCTTGTGGAGCCTCCACCATTTTCTCTTGAGCCAAGGTCTTGGGCTTTCTTTGAATTGGAGAGAAGGGAAGGTTTTGACTCTGCCTCCTTCTAGAATTTACAGAATTCCTGTTCTAGAATTTTGGTGCCAAGAAGGAGAAGGCGCTGGTAACTGCTGGTGCCCAGGTACAGAGCTGTGGTTGATAGAGTGGAAGCTGGGAACAGGCACACATCCACCTCCGTTCTCACTGAAAGACGTCCCTGCTTTACCAAAGTTAACATGAGTCCAGCCTCTCTGGAAATCATGGGGCGGGGGATGTCCCTAGTTCCACCTTACTTCTTCTTGGTCATATTTAGTGGTAACAGCTTTTAACCACTAATGAAGTTACATTGACAAAGTCTGTGTTAATTCAGAATGTTATAGGCACTTAAAGTCTCCCCAAATTAAACGAAAACACTCTGTCTTTGTTTGCCATCTTTTGTACTGTGTCCTATTTAACAGGGGGATTTCAACAGACTGTTTTCCAAACGTGCAAACAGCAGAGTGGGCTGACCCGGAATGTGCTAGCTCACCACAGAGCTGTAATCTTGAGATAAGAAGTGAAGGGAAAAGTCAAAACAGCTCAACCAAATACAAATGCAGACAAATCTGTCTTTCCCCCAGACCCTTTCCCCGGCATGAGCGAACAAACTGGCCTCGACATTAGCTCTGGTGAACTTGAACTCACATACGCTCACCCTTGTGCAGCTCCCTGGGGCCCAGATGCAGACTGGACAAGCTAACATCTCCATGAATTGATCCCACAAGTATTTACTAGTGTGGATCTGCTCCATAGACGCTATCAGAGAGGTCATGCATATTTTCTGGGTGCAGAAGACTCACAAGTTCTCTGCCCTCCAGGAACATCTCTAGTTTATGTAGAAAGAAAACAATCAGAAAATCTAGCCCACGGCATTGAGAGGACCCAGGGCACAGTGGCCACGCCAGACAGTCTGAGCAGTTTTCCCAGACTCTGTGTATCTGGATGCAACAGCTTCGAAATCTGGGTCAACGTGTGGAATGGCTATTAGAGATCAGAAGACAGAAAGGTTGGGGGGAATTCGGAGAACTGGTGAGAGGTGTCCCTCTCTTGTACGTGGGAGGGCCCTTTGGAAACTTTATCAAACTGGTCAGGAAGAGTCAAGCCTAATGTCCCCAAGGTGATAGATAACAGACTCAGAAAAATTAAGTAGCTCATTCTTCCTTTAGGACACAAACCTAGTAGAGGGCAAAACCAGAATCAGCCTCTTCTCTGCCTGACTTCAAGCCCATGGTCTGGGCTAATGAGATAGCACTTGCCTCCAAGTCTGAAGACCTAAGTTCGAACCCAGGACCCAACATCAGGGGAGAAGAGAACTGATTTCTGCAAGTTGTCATACTATGGCATGAGTATCCCCCTTCAACACACACACACATACACACACACACACACACACACACACACACACACACACACACGCACCACATGTACATGCACACACACACATAGCAGATAGATGTAATTACTTTAAAAATGTATTATTTGTATATGGTTATTTTGCCTCCATGTATGTGTGTGTACCACATGTATGCCTGGTGCCCAAGGATGCTAGAAGAGGGTATCAGATCTCCTGAGACTAGAGTTATAGACAGTTGTGAGCCACCAAATGGACGCTGGGAATTGAACCCAGGTTCTCTGGAAGAGCAGAAAAAAATTGAAAATAGCTGAGCATGATGCCTATAATATCAGCCCTTCAGAGACAGAGGCAGGAAGATCCCCAAAAATTCAGGGCCAACTTGATCACCATAGCAAGTTCCCAGACCTTGTCTAAAATAATAATAATAATGATAAATAACTGTATGGAATTAAACTTGGAAAGGAAAGACTTGTTTGCTTAAACCGTTTAAATTAAATATAATGAAAAGCGACAAGTAATGGTGTGTGTGATCCTTGCCTTGCCTTGTGGGAACTTTTGCTGGGAATGTGGCTCTATTGTGCACAGAGGATGTGGCTTTATGCTGGAACCACCAGGCAGGTTGAGTTCAGAAACAATTAGCTCAGTCAGTGAACCTTTGAATCTGATTAGGCCAGGAAGCGGTCACTCCCCAGGACACAGCTAACGAAGGGAGTCAAGGCAGCCACTCCAAAATGAGAAATCAGTCGCCCGCTCTCTCTGAAAAAGGACGCGTTAAAGTTTATCCTGCCTAACTTACACCCAGAGCTCTATCATTCCTTCCATTCACCTCTGGAGACAATGACTATTGTCTGCGGGACCTCGCTGCTCCTGTTTGCAGACATCGCAGCCACGGTCTCTTAGAAACTTATGTTTGTGGAGGGCTGGCTCACCCTCGTGTTTTGGTAACAAATATCTCAGAGCAAAGACTCACGTCACAGAGGAAGATGAAGGGCCTCTACCAGGCTGCTGGCCGGACCCTGCTTACTCTCGGGAGCCTCAGTGTCTTCTCGGGAGTCATGGCCTTCTTCCCCGTCTTTTCCTGCAAGCTTTGGTACACAGGATGGAGCGTTTGGATCGCCTGTCCCATCTGGAACGGGGCTTTGGTAGGGCATATTTCATTAACATACTGACGTAAAGGGAGTTGAGAGGAAAGGGGAAGTAAAATAATACATCAGTTCAGAGTTTTCCAATAATTCAAAGACGTCTATATCCTGCAGAAAATCATAATCCTGAATTTAGAGCAGGAATTTCTATTAATTAAATTTTAAGCACATGATTTTTCTTAGCATTGTTTCATGTGTGTTTGTATGTCATGTATACAACAATGAAACATTCTTATGAGGTACGGTGGCACAGACCTATAACCCCAGCACCCAGAAGACTGAGGCAGGACTGTGAGCTGGAAGTCAGCCTGGGCTACGAGTGAGGCTTTGATTATTATGTAGCTGTCCATCCCTTACAAGCTAATGTCACCACACTGGACTCAGTTTTGACTAAGATTATATATATTTGATGTAGGCTGAAGGTGAATTTTAGGCATAGGCCAAGAGAAACGACATGAGTGTCCCTGGCAAGCTACTACTGAGTGGCTCAGGAGGTGGAGGCAGGCAAGCCGGGGTTGGGCATGGAGTCAGAGACGCAAGGTGTGGGGAAGTAGATTGTGTTCAATGTCAGACTTTAACGGTCTTACGATGTGGTCTGAAGCAGGAGTCTCATCCAACGACTTCCTTCTTGCTTTTCCCCCTGTGCTGTGGGGACATTCATGGGTAGAAAGAGAGCATGTGAACAACTGTCTAATCCTAAGATACTTGGTGAGGATGAAGGCAATTTGAGCAGACTGCTAACCAGAGCTTTGGACTCAATTGCTAGCTAGCACCAAGCCTTTCCCTTACCCTGTCCAAACTCTGTTCTTACCCAGTGGCTGCCAGCTCTGCCATCCTGTTCCTGGGAGCGCAGCTTCCGGGGCCTAATGCCCTTTCGCATTCGTGGCTGCCATTTCAAGAACACCCAGGGGTGTCTTACCCCAGAGCCTTTGTTCTGGGGGATCTTTGTCTAAAATCTTCCTGTACCTGGCTGGCTCCCAAACCGTTGTATTTTAAAAATGTGGGAAGGAGTCACATCATACAACAGGCCCACGTGGGAGGTTTATTGAGGGGAGCGCAGAGAAGGGGGCAGAGACTCGAAGAAAAAGAAAGAGATGAGAGGTGGTTAGGGCCTGCCTTTTATAAGGAAATGTAGTGAAAGCACACAGAGGTGCTCTGCAGATAAAGCCGAGGACATAACCTGTCAGGACCCTAAGAACAGGCCACTACAGATGCCTAAATGCTAACACCAACCACTCTTTCAAAGGCAGGATCTAATGTGTCTCCGGCTGCTCCAGAACTCTCCATGAAGCCGAGAGCTTCTGACCTTCCTACTTCCAGTCTCCCAGTGCTGGAGGACAAGCCAGCTCCAGAACACACAGCTTCCACAGCGCTGGAGGTCCAGCCGGGCTTCATGCCTCCAGGCAAGCACCCCAGTGAGCTACGCCCCCCATCAGCCCCCAGTCAAATGTCCCTCTCCACCTAAGTCTTCCCTCTTTCACCCTGTTTTAAATTGCAGCCTCCTAGAGGCCAGCAGAGATGACCCAGAAGGTAAAGGTGCTTGTCCCCAAGCTGGAAGACCCAAGTTCGATACCTGGAACCTACCAATTCCCATCAGAGGCCCTCTGACCTCCACACATGCGCCGTGGTACCCATGTGCTCACTGCCCCAGCCCCACACAAAATAAACAAATAAAGCAAATGTAAAAAGCATCTTTAAAATTGTAACCCCTGCCTCGACCTGCAGTTCCCAATCCTGTGGTCCCACCCCATCTCCATTACGATATAACTTAACTACCTACTGTGCATCGGACAAGATTAGGGTTCTGCTTCTGTTTTCTTTATTACTCTATCTCCAGAGCTTAGAACAAAGACAGCCGCCTGCTGCCTTTGATGGCCACTGTGGGCTGAGTAGGTGACTCCTGGGCCCTGCCTTCTGGCGACACAGACTGTGTTATGGAGTGGAACTTTGGTTAGGTTGCCAGGACTCCACTTGAGGCTGGTCTGGGCAGGAGAAACCCCCAGGGAGAGAAAGCATGGAGTGTTCACTCCTCCAACAACAATATTTTTTTCCTCTTGAGTTTCCTGCTAAGCTCAGCTTTGTCTGATGAAGGTCAGCTTCAGAAGGCCCCTGCCTTATTCCACACCGCCCCTGCCAATCACTTCTTCAGTTGCTGCTGAGACACATCCTCCTCCAGTGAAAAGATGCCTTGTATATTTCAATCATATTGTCACTTCCTTTACAAATGACTCCATGTTTCTTTGGAGATGTAGAAGAGGGTTCTTTTGCATGTGATACCCCAGTGCTGACCCTACCCTGTCCCTTGTGTTTGTTCAAAGCTTTTAGTCAAGACTTTCTGAAGTCAGGCCCACCTTCTGGTCCACACACCCTCCTAACTCTGTTCTGAAAGCCTCATGGCACACGATTTTCCTGGGATGTCTGAGCAAGGTTATTTATAGGCGTCAGCTGCTATGGAGCATGCAGCCAGCAGGTCATCGCATCTTCAGGGCAGAGCCCTAGTAATCCTGGAACACATGGCCTGCAGAGCCATCTCCGATGAAGAGACTGGATCCCGTGAGTTCCATCAAAGGACCCATATCTAGAGAGTCTAGGGTCTTGGCCTGAAACAAGCCACAGCCTTGCTCCCGGTGCCTGGCTAATGCAAGGCCAGGGTTCCGCTTGAGGCAGGCTTCTAACTGTCACAGAAGGGGTCTGGCTAGGTGGAGGCTTAGCAGTCATGGGACTTCCATCTACCAGAGAGTAGCAGTGGAAAGACAATGTTTGGCAGTGGGTAAAATAATGAAGCCAGGGTTTATTCAATACTGAGGCAGAATGGAGAAAGGAACCTCGGTGCAGGGCCAAGTTCAACTCCAGATACTAAAGCACAAGACAGAATGTAGGTCAAGGAGCAGGGTGTGGGGCAGTGGATAGGAAATTACTAAGCGGAAACAGCAAGGAGAAATGATGGGGTTTTTGCTGAGCACAGACGAGGTGATCAGACATTGTCTACAGGGTGATGCTGAAGGACAGAGAGACCAAGGTGTTAATCAAACACCACTGGCCTGGAGGATGGGCTGCTGGCTAAAGGTCTTGGTCAACAGTTTTTATTTATCTATTACCATATTTTATTTCTTCACTTCATTTACTGTGTGTATGAATGCACATGGGTGTCCCTGAGCACCTGTGGAGGTCAGAGAACAACATTCAGTAGCCAGTTCTCTCCTTCCACCATGTGGGATCAAACTCGGGTCTGGAGCTTGGTCACCAGAGCCTTCCTTCACCTGCTGAGCCGTCTCGTTCACAGGCCCCCAAATGAGATTGTAAAAGGAAGTGCTATGCTGGTGATTTGGCTGAAGTCGGGGTAAGCAAATTGATCCTTGTCAATGGTTAGTTTCCCACTTGAGTAGTCTAAGTCTCTTTATAGTCAGCCTGTCTAAAAACAAATGAGTCATCCAAACCAATTCTTTCTTCTCCAACTTCCCTTTCTTTGTGTTGGGAAATCAATTTCAAACCAAGAATGACCTTTGACTCAATTCTTTCTGCTAAAGTAGACTTTTCAGACTGTGCGAATCACTGGGCATCTATGGACAGCGATGTCCGTACTGGGGGTCTAGAGAGAGCAGGGTCAGCACTGGGGGTGTGTATGGATGACAGGTTAAGTGCTAGGGATCTGTGGATGACAGGGTCAGCCCTGGGGATCTGTGGATGTCAGGGTCAGTGCTAGGGATCTGTGGATGACAGGGTCAGCCCTGGGGATCTGTGGACGGCAGGGTCAGCGCTGGGGATCTGTGGA